TTAAAAAACAAACAAAACCCTAACAGTTCTACCCTTAGATCTAATAATCATTTTCTACAACTAAGAGGCTACAAGAACAACAAAAAATAAATAAATAGTTTTTCTGTGTAATAATAATGAGTTAAGAAAAGAGTTTAAGAAAAATTTCTAAGCCAAGTGGTGGTAGTGCATGCTTTTAATCCCAGCACTTGGGAGGCAGAGACAGGTGGATCTCTGTGAATTTGAATCCAGCCTGGTCTACAGAGTGAGTTCCAGGAAAGCCAGGTGTGGTGATATTTTATCTGTGTATCCCAATAAAGTTTAACTGAGGATCAGAGAAAAAAGCCAGCCACTATAGTAAACATAGAGGTCAGGTAATGGTAGTACACACCTTTAATCCTGTCACTCTGAAGGCAAGAGATCTGTCTGGATCTCTGTGAGTTCAAGGCCACACGGGGAACAGAGTCAGACATGGTGGTACATACTTTTAATCCCAGCACTAACCATAAAGGTCTGGACGACTGTACAGACAGAGAGGAAGTGACAGAGCTGGGCAGGAAAAGGAAGTGATGTAGCTGTCTAGAGAGAGGAAAAGAGATATCAGAACAGAAAGGCATATAGGTGTGGGTATACAGGAAGTAGGTCTTTTGCTGAGGATCTCCAAGTGGTAAGAATATGGCTGGCTTCTTTCTGCTTTTCTGATCTCTCAGTTTTAACCCCAATATCTGGCTCCAGGTTTTTTTTTTATTATTAATAATAAGACAGTTTAGCAATTCATCTACAGCCAGGGTTACACAGAGAAACCCCGTCTCCCAAAAACAAAAATAAAACAAAATATTCTAGTTACAATAGCCCCAAAAATAATAAATAAAATACCTAGGATTAAACATAATCAAAAAGGCAAAAGAACTCCTAAAGGGGAAGCTAACATGCCAAGGAAAGAAACTGAAAAGGACTAGAAGGTGAAAAGCCGTCCCATGCTCATGGATTGGTAGAATTATAATGGCTGCTTATTCATAGATCCATGGCCAAACCCCAGGTGGAGCTCCAGGAGTCCATTTGACGAGAGAAAGGAGGGATTATATGAGCAAGAGATATTGAGACCATGATTGGAAAAAGCACAGGGACAAATAGCCGAATTAACGGAAACACATGAACTGTGAACCAATAGCTGAGGAGCTCCCATGGAACTGGACCAGGCCCTCTGGATAAGTGAGACAGTTGATTAGCTTGAACTGTTTAGGAGGTCCCCAGGCAGTGGGACCCAGACCTGTCCTTGGTTTAGGAGCTGTTTTTTTGGAACCTAGGGCCTATACTGAGACACTCTGCTCAGCCTTGGTGCAGGGAGTGGGGGACTGGACCTGCCTCAACTGAATCTACCAGGCTCGGCTGACTCCCCAGGGGAGACCTTGCCTTGGAGGAGGTAGGAATGTGGGGTGGATTCGGGGAAAGGCTGGGGGATGGGAGGAGGGAGGACAGGGGAATCCGTGGTTGATATGTAAAATTAAATTAATTATAAAATAAAAATATTTATAAAAAAATAAGTAAATGAAATAAAATGGCTGTATTACCAAAAGCGATTTGCAGATTCACTATAATACTGGCTAAAATTACAATATGTTCTTCACATAAATAGTAGGAATAGTCCTACAATTCATATTGAAGCACAATAAACTCCAAGTAGTCAAAATAATCTTAAGGGGGAAAAAAAAGCAAAACTTGGAGGCACCACAGTAACTGATTTCAAATTATATGATATATGGTTAAAAAAAAATCACAAACAGCATAAAACCAGATGTAGAGACCAATGAAATAGAATAGAAAACCTGCAAATAAACCCATGAAGTACATACACAGCCATTGGATTATTGACCAAGAGTGAAAGAAGAAGGAGGTGTTGAGCAAAGACTCTTCAGCAAGTAGGTCTGGGGAAACTGGATGCCTACATGCAGAAGACTAAAATCAAATCCATTTCTTTAGTTTTATAAAAAAAAAAAAACCCAACTCAAAATGGATCAAGGAATTTAACATTATATCTGATACTTTGGAATAATTCCAAGAAATTTGGAAAAAAAAAACACTACAGATGTAGGTATACAACGACTTTCTGAAGAGAATGCCAATAGCTTAGGATGTAATAGCAAGAAGTGAGCTGTCATATATAAAAAGGCTACGGAAGATGATGTGGGGTTGGATATAACTTCAAAAGCTTTTGCATAGAAAGGTAGCAGTCCATGAAGAGGCAGCCTAGAGAATGAGAGAAAGTCTTTGCCAGTTCTTCTTCTCATAGGGGATTAATATTCAGATAACATAACTAATAAACTATTTCACTAACTTAAGGCTATACTAATAAATGTTAAAAGAAGAAACATTCTATCAGTTGGAAAATAGATTGAGCAAACAGTTCCTGAAAGAAGCAAGAATGACAAAAAAGCAAAGAACTGTTCAACATCTTTACCTACTAGAAAAATGCAAAAACAATACTACACTGACAGTCTGTCCCTAGTCAGAATGGGCATCATGAAGAAAAGGAACAACAAATGCTGGCATGGATAAGAGAGGGAAAGGAGCAGAGGAACCCTGAACCACTGCTGTGGGAATATAAGTTAATGTAGCTTTTAACATGGTGTAAATCAACAATAGAGTTCCTCCAAAGGCTAAAATTAGAATTACCCTCTGATTGAATTATAGGACTTTGGGGGTATATATCCCAAAGAATGCAAGTCAGCATACAAGAGAAATTTTATACATTCATATTTATTGTGACACTATTCATGGCAGACAAATTATGGAATCAGATTCTGTGTCATGGATGGATCAATGGAGGGAGAAAAGCTTAGAGACAGGTACAACGGAGGATTATTCAGCTGCAAAGAACAATGAAATTACCATTGCAGGAGCACAGTGGAAACAGATGTCATGTCATTCTAAGTGAAACAAATTGTATTTGGAAAGATAAATATTGCATATTTTCTCTCATATTTAAGTTCTGTATTTAATAAAAAAAGATGAAATTAGAAGTGGGACTATTTGAAAAGAGGATGAGAACAATGTGAAGTAGGAAGGAGACAAGAGACATTAATGAGGATGAATATGATCAAAGTACATTATTTGCATGAAATGTCATAGCAAACCCGTTGCTTTGTACACACTACAATGAAGAGGAGTTACTGAGAAAGTCTTGAAAATGTAGGTTTTGGTGCTGTGCATTAGAGCAGTAGGTTTGTCCTAACAATAAGCATCCAGGAGGTTCAGAGGCACATTGATGCTAGAACCCTGTCTCTAGAGATTGAGCAAGCACCTGTGTGGATCATTTGCTCACTCAGTGTTGATGGCTCTGATGCAATTAATGTCTCCTTGATCATGGAAGCTGCCACTTTGTCTCCTGGGTAGCTATGCTGTTTCCTTTCCAGAAAATTTGCCGGCACTCTGGTACCTGGAGAGGTACTTCAAGCAGTCTTTTCTCTTCCAGGTGTTCCATGGGGGAGGCCCGGTAATTTGCTCTACTTTGGGATAAAGTTTCTTATATCAAACTCATTCATTCAGACACAAACCCATTCAAGAACCTGGATTCCACCTTCTGTACTCAGAAGAACAGATCAAGAGAGTTCTGACAAACAGTCCAAAGATTAATTGTCTAGAGAACTGCCTGCAACACAAATAAGCAGGACATACCAAAAAAAAAAAAATTTCTCACCTACTTCCTCCAGAGTTGAGCAGGAATCCTCCTGACCGTCATCTTGCCAACATGTCTTAGCATGGCTCTGACTCACCTCCATTTTCTGTTCTATTTCTAGCACGTACCATAGCCTGAGCTAACGAAGGCTGCCAAGTGATTACAATTCCCCTTCTATCCTTACCCTTCATTTCCCAGGCAGCCTGAGACCTGGCAAGTATGGGCTAACAAAATATAAATGTTCCAAATAAGTGGCTGGAAAAAGTGATGTCACAGGCGAAACAAGAATCAAATGCAGAGGCCAAGCCTGTTTGTCTCTATTTCAGGAAGGTGAGAGCCAGCCTCAAAACCAGGCTTCTACATACACAGAAATCTGCTTCTTGTTGTTGCTGTTGCTGTTGTGTGTATCTGTTGAAATGACCCCCATAGGACTCAGACCCAATGACTTTGAAAAATAATTTTAATTCTTCTATACTATAAAAATCTAATTCTTTTATGCTATACAGATCCTCAAATATCTGAAGATACCTTACTTTGTAGAACTGCTGCCCAAGAGCCAGTCTGGTTGTCCACCGTCACGTGCACTTTACTTTTGTTTTTGTTTGTTTGTTTTGTTTTTTGCTGTTCTTAGGTTACTTTATACAAGCAGGAACCCTGAGAAATCAACCTTTGTCCCTTCCACTCCACTCACCACTCCACT